GGAGACAAATCTTTTCTTTGCAAATCAGCTCAGGGAAAGCAATTGCCTGCTTACTACACAGAAATACACCGAGGGGGACTTGCAGCCAGCACTTCCCCCAAAAACCAGTAACAACTTGAAGGCGGACACCAGTAGTTGCCACGGAAAGTCGTCTGGAGAGACCAGTTTCCATTTTGAGGCAGAATCATCATTTCTGCCAGTGCCAGCTGTCATCTGCGTAGTACAGTGGGGTGGCAGAGCCTGTTTAGGCAGCAGAGGGGGAAGGCAGCCAGCCTGGCTTGGCTTGGCTCTGCGAGGAGAGGGTAAGCAGCTGGGCATCGCACGGCCACGGCAATAAACAAGGGCTCTCCCGGGGATTTTCCAGCCACATTAGCCTTCATGCAAAATAGATTCTCACACTCTCCCTCGCAGGCGTTAGAGCCCCTGGCGTGGTGGGGATGTGCCTTGGGCCACAGAAAGCCCTGGTGGAGTAGAGGAGTAAGCTGTGAAAAAAGAACAGGAGCTGGTTAATACCGCTAGACAGCGAGGTACCGGTGTGTAGTCATTGTGTCAGACACAAAGGGAGGCAGGGCCAACAAGGCAGTAAGACTATTTGGCTGCCTTCTGCTTCCAAGGCCCTTGACAGCAGTGACCAGAGCTGGGGAAGGGGATGCCCAACCTCAGCCCTCTTGGGTTCCCGAGGCAGAAGCAGCACTCAGATGGGCTTGTTCTCCAGGACAAGGTTTCTGGCTCACACAGCACATTAGTAGCCACCCCACACCCCCTGGCACCTTCACAGTCGCCCCTGCGCTCTCTGTCCCCTGGGTCACTCGATTTATCACTGCTCTTTCTAGTCCTGGCCGTATCTACACCATCACCCTCCCATCTGCTACCCAGGGACCCCCTGCACAGCACCAGGGGGGCAGGATGAGGAATGATCCTTTCTCCGTGCTGACCCTGGGGAGCCAGGAAACATCTGGCTGGGTCCTCCTGCCAGCAGGAACGGCTCTGGGAGCATCACCTGATGTTTCACCTGCTCATACCGAGGAGGAATTTAGTTCCCAGTGACCCCTGAGGCTCCCACAGGCTTAGGTCTCCCCACAGAATAAAACCCAGGAGTGCTTCATCACGTGCAAATCTGAGCAGGAACCAGGTTTTTGCAATTCCTGGCGCCTGGAGGGGGGCAAGGGGGGCCTTTCCACAATGTGCTGACATTCCTTTAGTTCTGCAAGTGTATTTTTCTTTCCTAAGTCAATCCTTTTTGCACATGAAAGCTTTTTTTTTTTTTCTGGGTAATAAGGAGCATCCAGAAAAGAAAGCAAATGAATGCTTCTGGGTTTAGCGACTCATAAATCATTTTTCAAAAGCTGCTCTCAGATCCCAGCAGGGCCAATGGCCAGAGGTGGAAAAAAAAAAAAAAAAAATCTGCTCTAGCCCCCAGCCTGTCCTGATAACACTGGTCTCGTGGAGATGAGTTACCTGGAGGCTCCTCCACTGGCCCCTGGATGCATTTTCTTGACCAAGCGAGGACTTGGCTGCTCTAAGGGGTTTGGGTCCCTCACCGAGCTGGAGAGTGGGGCTGATGGACACAAGGGCAGCGCAGCCCCGTGGGACCCATCTCAGAGGAGGGCAGGGCAGGGACAGGTACCACACACACACGTGCTGTATTGCTGCTATCGAATCCCTTCCCCTTCTTACCAAAGTGCAGCCACGTCAGGGGAGGAAGCAGAGAGGTCACTTACCAGCATACAAGACTGAAGAACTGAAGTGAAAAAGAAAGGCAAATCCATCCAGAACCAGCATAAAGTAACACCAAGGGCAATTCTGCACAGCACTTAGTGTCCAAAATAAGTACTGCCATTCCTGAAAGATGTGGGAGAAGTCAAACTATCCTTACTCATTTTAAATGGCACAGTCATCTGTCTAAGTCTGATGTTGACTTATACCTCTCTCAGGATGTTTTCTTCAACAAAACGCAAGTGTTGAGGATTAATGATTTATTCTGAGTAGCTGGTGGAAGGCAGCAGAGTGCATCCAAAGCCGGTTCATAAATTGGGAAAGAGGAGGTGACGATTCATCTTGTCCATCCCTGGGACTAGCACAGAAAAGTAATTGCCTTCATTTGCAACAAGACAACTTAGGTCATCTATTAGGGAAAAAAAACCCCACCAAACCTTCAGAACATTAGCTGGAACAGATAGCAGTTTCAAAACAGGTAAGATTCATAACTCTTTTGAACCACCCAGCCTGACCTGGCCCCCTGGGTGCTGCGGTTCAGCCCCACTGCTGAGGTCCTTCAGATTTTCTAACTCTCCACTCAAACAGGGAGTCCCTTGGCACACACACACTGACTCACTCCCCCGTAGCCCCCAAGCCTTCCCGAGATATTCTGCCTCGGCGAGTCTTGATTAATAAACAAGATGTTCATGTTTTTATGTGGAAAGCAAAACACAGGATTAGTGATACTAGAGAGCTATAATCAAACGGTTCCACACCAATGAATAATGTGTGTACAGAAACAAATGCTTGCTAAACACCCCATGCCAATGCTGATGTATTTTTCATAATTGTTCAGGATAAATGAGGAGTAAACACTTCCAGAAGCTGTGGTGATAAATATATCAAATTCGTTAGCCTATATTTTTTCCCTAGAAGACAGCTAAAACTGCATATTTTACTGCAATCTAACCCACACCCTGCGAAAAATATTACACTTGTTACGAAAGTCTGAGCCTAAAAAAAAAAAAATCCGAAATGTTGGAAGCTGTCAGTGAGCAGGGCAGGGATCCTGTCAATCCCTGGGATATTGCATCCTCCCCATCTCTCCACCAGCCCATGAAGCTTCATTTTGTCACCTCCTGTTCTGTAATGAAAATAGGCTCTTGGCTGCATCCCATCGATTTTAGATATTGTCTGTCAAACGTGCTGTCGAGACCAGAAGGAGCAAGGTCTTGTGCTCTCTTGGTGACACCACTGGGGACGTTGCTATGCAGGGTGGCACGTGAGCGGGACGTTTGCAGGGATGTGGTGGAAGCAGCCGCTTCTCTGAGGCTCCACTACGTTATTTACGTGGTGACACAAACTAAAATGAGCACATGGACACCTTCAAAGCTGTATTTTAGCTGCCCGAGCACTTCGGAGCCGCAGCCAGCGCACAGCCCGGGCTGAGGACATTTTGGTCATGGTGCTGCCAAGAAGGTAGTGGTCTTAAAGCAGGGTGAATGGGAAACGGGGTAGTAACATGAAGAATTTGTTCATTTGAATTCTTAGTGATGTTTCATGGTTAGTGCTGGAATGGAGCTGTACTGGGCCTCCTGACTCTTAATTTTCTTTTTTTTTCTTTTTTAAAGATGTTTGACAAGGGACCCTTTCCAGAGCAGTTGTTATTTCTGAGAGACAATTTTTTTTTAAAGGAAAGTGGGATTGTTTTAATATACTTCCACCTTTAATTCTTTTTAACTAGCATATTTATTGGTTTTAACTCAGAGTTTCCCCAGTTTTAGCAGCCCTGCACCAAAGGGAGGAGCCAGCACATGGTGTGGGGCTGGGGGGAGCTGCCAGCCCCACAGCCTGCCCCAGATCTCCCTCTTCTCCTGAGACCCTACTCAACGAGGCAGCATGGCTGGAGATGAAAAAACATTAAATACTTAAAAGCTTCTCTAAAGAAAGAGGTGGCGCTTCAAGGCAGTTAAAGTATCTACAAAACCCCATCCCCAATGGGTTCGAGGGGCGTTTTGCCCAACTCCTCCACCAGATCAAGGTGACAGACCTGTGTGCTGGGCTCCTTGCCCTGATGTCTCCCCACAGCCTGTCTTTCTCCCCTTTGCCCCCAACTCCAACCCTTCCCAACCAGGTGAAAATGTTACCAATGGACCTTACAACTCCTTACTCAATTTCCCTCCCTCCAAAAGCCCTTCCCAGTGGGTTTCACGGGAGGCAGAAGGGCTCTGCAGGAACTTGGGAAGGCTTTTCAGTCCAGAGAGCAGTGTTACTCTGCTTCTTCCTGGGCAGGGAGCTCCCGTTTTGCTGATGGAGGGGCTCCAGCCTCTCCACCGCACACACAGCGAGTGCTGACGCACGGTGAGTAATTTCACCATAATAACCCCGCCGTGGTACCGCACGGCTGCCCTTCTGCTAAGTGCTAGGTCCTCCCTCAGCCAAGTGCAGGAAGCCCAGCGCCCTGGCTCCGGCAGAGCCGAGGAGCACTTTGGGCTCTTCTCTCTGCAGTAATGCTTCTCCATCACCAGGAACTCTTCCTTTCTGTATTTTTCACTTGGGAACCAAACGATTGCCAATGACAAGAACAAGAAACAAGATCATTTACTTACTCTGAAAGCTTACCGTGCATCTGCATATTGTACTTTTTCTCATGAGCCCTGCTTGGTCTTCAGGTTGCTGTGTGCTCAGGTGGGGGCTTCTCTTGCCCAGAAGACCAGCAGCATCGCTGAGCACAGGGCAGTTAAGAGAGCTGGTACTGAAGCTCGGAGGAATCAGGCCACAGCATCGCCCTCGCTGCCCCACATCAGGCACCAGGCAAGGTCCTGGTGAGCCCGTGATCATCCAGTCTTATGTCTTTCCTCTGTGGGTGTGAGCCCAAATCCTGCTCAACCCATCCAGCCCTGGCTGTGGCCCAGGCAACACTGCTGGGCAGACCCTGCGGATGCTTCACTAACGCCCCTGGAGATGCCCCTAGGGGTTGGATCTCTGCTGAGCCTGTCAGTGACCAGCCCTGGATGATCAGTGAAAAGCAAAGTTTCCAAGAAAGGCTCCAAGTTGCGTTCTCCATCCACCCTGAGTCACCACTTCTTCCCAAAGACAAGGACTGCTGCAATTTGTCCCACCAAGAGCCTCCCGTTAAGAGGCCAGCACCCACCAACAGGCAAGTCCTGTTCTAACTCCAGCTCTTGGGGATCTCTCTTCATCCTTAACAGTATTTTCCAGGCACCTACTAGTGCCTTCCCCTGTCCCATTCCTCACCCCTGCCACGGCCAGCAAGACCTTGCTTTTAGTTTCAGGGCAGAGGAAAGCTTTCACTGGGCTGCTCAAAGAAATCAATAGAGCAGCAGGGGGAATCACAATGAAACTAGAAGGAGTGTAGAGAAGCCACACAGAGTATTCCTTCCCTCCCTACAGCACACACAAGAGCAGGAATTCACTGTAGGAGGACTGCACTTAAAAAAAGAGATGGCAAATACAACCCCTCTACGTTGAGGCAGAAATTCCGTATAAAGCAGAGGCACCAAAGCACATCCCATCACAAGATGAAAGCCAGGAATTGCTCCCACTTTATCAAAGCCCTCTCCTCTCACACTCACATTCAGCTCCAGTGGCCAGCCAAAGGCCACACGCTGCTTCGGAAATGTCAATGCTTTTATCTCCCAGTTTGTCCATGACAGTTAAACTGGCAATACACATCACTTCTCGATACATACATTTGCAGAGGAGGATGGGGGCAGGATGCTTTTCCTGTATCTGAGCTGCAGAAGGGCTGTGGTACCCCTGGGGGATGCAGTCCCACAGAAATGAGCTGCTCTGGGGACTGAAGCCAAGAATTTCAGGGTTTTCCATGAGAGAGTCAGAGAGGGGCTGGTTCTGGCTAGGGCTGTGCCTCCTGTCCCCTCCTGGGACTATTTCTTAGTTGATCCCATAAAAGACAGACTTGAGCCAGTCCAGCTCCTACCCAGGGCAAGCAGAACAGCATCCCAGGTGGGCTGCTCCAGGCATCTCAGTTCAGCAGGACCACGGGCTGTCACAGCCCTGGGGTCATGAGGGGGGTTTGTGTGCCATCCTGCGAGAGCCCAGGGTGGGGGGTCCAGCCCCTGCTGACACAGCAGCTCTCATTTTGGGGACTATGGAGTCGCTCCAGAGCCACAGCCATTCTCAGAGCCTCTTTCTGTGTTTCCCCCCAGTCGAGGAACAGCGGGCAGCAAGGGGACACGGACGGAGCCCGGAGACTCGGCCGCATGGCCAGGCTGCTCAGCATCGTCTCCATCGTCCTGGGGACCATCATCATCGTGCTCTACATTTCACTCAGCTTCAGAGGTAACATCTCCTTCTCTTTTCCCCAGCCCAGCTAGAGCAGGAACTTCCCCTGGCTCCAGCCCAGTGGATAGGACGCACTTACCTACCATCCACCACCTCCATTCCCACCCCAACTACAGTGGCGGGGCACTAAGCACCTGTATGGTCCAGGCTGGTTTGATCATCACCAGCTTCACGCACACACGTAAAACACCTCAGAGAATGTGCTCCTTGCAGGAGCAACACACAGTCTTCAAATGATCAGAATGGAAAGTCCTCCCTGCGCTGTCCCATAGTGACCATACAAGGTCTCCCTGGTGAAGGCTGTGGTGGGTCTAGAAGAGTGTAGTGTGGTAAAAACAAAGGGTTTCACGACACAAATCAACCTGCCCAGAAATGCAACCCCAAAACATTTGGGGAACCTCCCATGCCAAACCAGCATGACCAGCACACAGCTCAGGCAAACGGGAACCTCAGAAACACACAAAGCCCAAACCAAGAGCATAAGGGGAAACACCTGTGACTGCTGGAAGCTGCCCTGAGTCTCTCTTTATTTTACAGTTTCCTAGAAGACATTTCAGCATGCAAATACCTCGAAGAGGAGGAAGACAACTTTCCTTTTGGGGTTTTTACTTTCAGCCTTGCAACAAAAAATTGTCACAGTGTAGGTGGGCAGCCCTAGACAGCCTGCTCTGGAGCGCCGTCTGAAGGAACGCATGCTTCTACTTCACCGCCTCTTGGAAATGATTTTGTACAAGTGATGGGATAAAAAAGATCGCAAGAAGGAATGGGAATGAACATCGGACGCCAAGTGGAGAGGAGAAGGGGGAAATCCACTACCTCATTCCCCTCCAGCAAAACTCACGGAGCGGGGAGACGACTAAAGTACAAGAGGAGGAGAGAGTTTCAAGAACGAAGCTTATTTTAAAAAGAAAAATTTTAAGGCGAGAACAGGACATTTTGAAGAATCCTCCTAAGAATTTTGGCACAAGTCACTGAATTTTTGGGGGGTTGTTGGTTTTTAAATCGTCGAATTCTCTGTCTCTACAAAAAAATATATTAAAAAAAAAAAAACCAAACAAAGCTCAAACTGCCATCAGGAGCTGAGAGCTGTTTCCACGGAGGAGGAGGGAGAGCAGAGCTGCAGCGGGACCACGGCTCTGCCCCGAACAAAACGCAGCCGCAAAAGCTGGAGGATGTGGTGGGTGCTTTTGTATTTTTGATGAAAAAAAAAAAAAAAATAGAGACAATGACCATTTGCATGCTTTTGGGAATGTTCTCCATGTCTGTTCCTATGAGCTCTTTTATCACTTGGGGCAGATCTCAGAGCTGGCAGAGCAGGATGTTGCTGCATGAGAACGCCAGGCTCCTCCTCACCTGCATCCCACGGTGGGGTTTTTAATGGAAGGAAAAAATAATGCTTTCTCTGTGAAACCACACATTTCTCTCTCTGTGTACCCAAAGTGAGGTTAATACTCGTGGCGCTGAGAAAAGAGCCTGGTTAATCTGTAGCAGCAGTACCAAGGCACGGAGAGACCCTTCTACCCACTTACACATTTATGTCGTGTCATGTCCATCACACAAAAAGCTTCAGCATGATCCAGCCCCCACCGCTGTCAGAGCTCGTCTCCCCGACCCTTTTGGGCTTCAGCTTAGGGTTTTTCAGGAGATTTTCAGAGACACGGAGGAGTTTAAGCTCCCTGCTCCTCTCCCCGCTACCCCTCGTGCTCTTCTGCATCTCTGAAAACCTCCCGCATCCCCAGAGCTGGCTGGGGTCAGTTCCACAAGTAGTGTTATTTTTTAATGTTTTATATTTAACGTAACAAGAAAATAGACTTTGCTCCTCCTGATCTGCCTACACGTACCCCGCGTCTCGCCACGTCTTCCACGACACGCGGCTCCACGGCCGTTTCCCCGCAGGATCCGACCCCTCCAGCCCCATCACTTCTTCTCCCCCCTCACCCTGTCCTTGCCGCAGGTTGTTACTGGGGTTGGCCCTCTCTCTGGCCAACCAGACTATGCAAAGTTTCGTCGCCTGTTATTTTATTCAGGCTTTGTAGATGGCTTCTGGCCATATCCATTGGCTCCGTATTAGCTGAGCCTCTCTTCTTTTATCAAAACTTTGCGGGCCAAGAGCTGCATCCCCCGACCTTTCTGTTGCCTCCAGCTGACAGCCTGGCACCTATGAACATGGACTGCACTGAGAAACAGGGTGTTTCAGGGCACTTCTGCTCCCCACCATCAATCTCCTGGGAAAAAAAAAAAGCAACCCAAATCTTAGACCAAATCTAATTCTTCCAAGGGCTTGTCTACATGGAGAATCTGTTTGACACCATAAAAAACTTCTCAAGAAGGTCCCTGCTTGGCACTAACTTGTTCTTTGGGGCATGTGAGTGGGCACGTGGGGTTAGCACAGGGTAGGGGTCCACTGTAAATCCACCCTGTAGTTACTCTGTAGTAAACTAACAGGCAAAGCTGTGGGTATTGCTGTGAAAATTCTCTTGTCACCTGGTTAATTGCTCCTCTTTAAAGTGTTTTCTTTTGCTAGGTGTTATTTGAGTCCAGGAGGGAAGAAAGCCAAATCACCTAGACATGCTGTTAACATTTTTCTCTACATTAAAAGGGATTCCAGGGTCTCAGAGCAAAAGCACATCACTACAGCACTTTCTCGGGCTCCATTCCCATCCATCACCCCTTTGCCAGCTCTTTATTACAAATTACTGGCTTCTGAAACGGACCAAATTTGCAACCTTTCTTTTGCAATTCATTTTTTGTGAGCTTCAGCAAACTGGGGCCACTGAGAACTGCTGGGTTTGAGCTCCCACCCGCAGCCGCTGCCAAGGTGCCCCTTGGCACTGGACCTCTTCTTCCTGAGCTCATCAGAAACCATCCCCTGGAGATTCAAAACCTGAGCTTCTGGTTGATCAAAATCCCATCAAATCTCCCAAAAGGTTCCTGTCTTTAACGCTTGAACCTGAAAGCTGCTTGCTGGGAAACACACATTGGTGTTTTTTTCTGAGATACGTAAGGGCAGTGCTGCCTGTCCGTGCATCTTCTGTCCTTTGGTCTCTTGAGCAGCTGAAGTTCAGCTGATGGTAAGAGCCCAGCAAGCTCCTCCTTGGGCAGGAAGAGCCCACATTCAGGGAAAACTGCCGCAATGAGTTATAGTACTTGAAAGCGCCAAGTATTTATTAAGTAGAGAATTTAAATGCTCTTTTATCATTATATAAAGCCTTTCATCTAAAGTGCTTTACCACATTTAAAGGATTAAGCCCTGCCACCCCCCCACAAGGTGAGTTAGCATTACGCTGCTCTAATTGCACGGGTGGCAAAGTTGCTCAGAGTCACGTGCCCTGCACAGCTCCAAAAAGAAACCCATTTTTCTTTCTCCTCCTCAATAGAACCCTGTATGAATACAGATTTCCTTTGAGTCGGATTTCTCCCAAGGCAAACACACGCTGCACTGCAAAACAGAGTGGGATATCTACAGTCGTAGGAACGAGGGGGCTTTATGAGGCAGCTGCAACAGTCCTCGCCAGGAGAAGCCCCAGGTAGAGGCACCCGAGGCAAAATGCAGAAGGGAGATGATTTCCCCCCAAAAACCCATGGGTTCATGCACCCAAATGGGGTTTGTGCCTCCTGTCTTAGCCCCTATCATCAGGCTACTGAGGGAACCTCTTCTCAGCTCACTATTAACTATAATTAAAAAACCCCAACAAATAAGGCACTTAAATTCCTTTAATTTTTAATCCGCTTCCTGATTAGATACAATAGCACTGCTCTGCACTCTTGAATACAGCTTTTTGCTTCTTATCCTGCACTTAAATCCAGGGCAAAGCCTCTACAGCTGCTCCTGACAAAATATTTTCTCTCCTGGTGACCTGGCTCTCTGGTGCTGGGGAAATAAACTCCCCAGGGCTATCTGGAAGTTCTCTTCTCCCCGCTCTCCTCCAGCTTCTCCCTTTGCAAGCCTGATGTTTTGCAAAGGTTTTTGCCACTAGATCCTTGCTCTCCACATCACACACCTTTTTACCCCAGCTCGGCTGCCTGTTTGGCTCTCTCAGGTGCATTAGCTGTATTTGAGAAGGAAGAAGTTGCTGAACCCCCAAACCCTTGACACACACCTCACCTGCAACTGCGTTACAAGGAGCTAAATCATGGTAGAACTTCATCCCAAGGCCACCAGCAGGCAGGACTCCTCCTTCGGTCTGTATCTGGGGGAACAGCAGCTTCCCTTATGATTAGTTGCTGATTTCACCTAAGCACAAGCACCTTGCTTTCCAAAACCAGTCACAGCTGTTCTTCCCTTAACTTTTGGTTTTAGCACACAGGAAGGCAATCAAGAAACCATGTCACAAAAAAACTTCCCCTTCTCCATCTCCACAAACAAGCCCTGTTACATCACAGCTCTTTGCCACCTGCTGCAGCCTCCCCTAAGCACATCAGAATCAAATTTTCTGTGTTTGCAACTAAAAAAGTCATGAAGTCCTCAGGATTTGGCCAACTTTTGCCCCCTAGCGAGGCAGGCAATAGGGGAGAGGCGAGAGATCCAGGCGATGCGGTGGCAACCCAGCCTTACCTGACAGCGGAGCTGAGCTGGTAGGAGGATGGCTTGCTGAGGAGATGGAGAAGGTGGGAAACATCTCTAAATGTAAGTTGAAGTAGGAGTTAACGATCGACAAGTGTGAGGTCCTGGTGGGATATAAATACATGGTTTGCACTGCTCAGGAAGAGTCTCTGAGCAGAGCATGTGGCTGATGGCATCTCTCTAGCATTGGTGTCCCTGGGCTCTTCTCCTCAGGGCTTGGAGAAACAGTCAGACTCTGTGGGGTAGCACAGAAGAGCCCTTGCTGGGAACAGAAATGCTGGATCAAAGGTTTAAGCTGAGGGATTGGTTTGCTGCTGCCGAGCAGAGCGAGCTTGGTTTCATACCAGCTTCTCGTAGGATGCGATGACTGATGGTCAGAAAAGGTCTGGCTCGGGTCAGCTGGTCACAGCAACACGCTGGCTGGTACCTGCAGAGGAGATCAAAGGGATTTGAGCACAAAAGGGAGTAAAGAAAGCAACAAAAGGTTTGATTTCAAGGTTTGCTGTAATAATGATGAGCTTTCCTTTGCTGCTCTGTATTCCACTCTGTTCCAGCTCACCCCTATCTCCCCATCTTTGCAAGTTTGATGTGCTTTCCCCTCAGCAATTCTACCCCTAGAGCAATGCACGGGTCTCACAGGCTTTCCCCTCCCACCCTCTGCCTTTGCTTTAACCCAGTACAGGTCTGGTTGGCAAGGAGATGCCATGGCTGGGCTTCTCTGAAAGGGGATATTGAAGGGTAGAGAACCTACTCCTCTCGGCCTGTGGACTCCAGCAGGTACCACCGCAGTATTTGACCTTCCAAACACAGACTTCTCCACGTAGACAAGAGGAGCAGATCCCACCTTTTAGATAAAATTAAAATTCCCTTCCCATTCTGTTTGAATCCAGGGAGAGGCTGCAGAAATGCACCCACCGGGCTGGTCCCATGACTGACTTTATTTCTTTTTTCCCTGATCCCCCCCCCAACCTTGCCCTATCACTTGGTTACTTACCGCAGAACCACAGCCAGGGCTGCGCAGTCAAACTGAAATAATTTCAGAGTTAAGGTCGATTTTTCTTTCAGCCTGCATCCTTTAATTTTGGCAAAGACGGTTAGGTTTGGACTGAAGACGCCCATGCTTGGGCACAAGCCAAGGGGGTGGTGGTGGTGATGGGGGAAAGCAGCCTTTTCAAAATGGGACTATTTGTAAAGCATTTGCTGACACCAGTAGGTAGCGGAATTCAAACCTAAAAATACCCACCCAAGACAAGAAACATCAGAAAGGGACCATGTGCAGGATTCACCAAGGCAACCCTGACACCACTTGGGAGCAGGTGACCCTGGTAGATGGTGCCCAGGAGCCCATCCTTTGCGTGGAAGGGCAGGGTCTATCCCCTCCCCACAACTGCCGTCACCACTGTCCATGGACCGGCTCCTCCCGTTTCAAAGTTGAACTGGAAGAGCCGTGTTTCACACACAGCATGACCACATCAGGAACTGCAGCTGGGCGCTTCTCTTTGCTGATAGATGTTTCTTTTTTCTGCAGGATGATATGGTATATCTTATATACTTTCTTTGTATTTCTTGGCATGAGAAAAAAAAAAAATTAAAATGTAACATGCATGGTCAAAGCTGAACTGGTTTCTTCTGTCTAAATGAGAAAAAAAAATAATCCAGACTACTCGTTTAACTATTGATTCACACCTTAAGAGCAAGCAGATCAGCTGGTGTTTTGGGAGCAGTGGGTTGCAAATAACATATATTAGGAAAAGGCAGAAAAATACAGCACAATTCAGAGCAGAGAAAGGTCCAGAGAGATCAGCCTTGTGCTGCAGGGAGAAGCAGCACTGAGCTCCTCGGGAAGCAGAAATATTGTGGGAGGTCTCCAGCTGGCCATGCCACCGGGGAAGCAGGAGCACAAGGATGGGATGGGGATGGGGAGCAGCCACTGGGAACTGCTCTTCATCACTGGCCTTGCCTGGGCAGGTCGATGGTATGGCGCACAACCAGGTATGAGAGAACAAATCCCAAATCTGCTCGGAAAGCAAATTTATTGATCAAAACCATAGATTTCAAGAATGCACAGCAATTTTTGCTCTCCACTCAAAAAGCCTAAACGCAAGCAGCTGCTAGGAAGCAAGTCCTTTTAAAGTTTCTAAAGCCAAGGCTTAAAAACTCAGCCACTACCAAAAACTGGCATTAGTCTTTTTCCAGGAGGAGTTTTTCCAACCAGTCCCACTGGAAGGCTGTTGGCTGTGTGTAACCCACATGTTGGGTCACTACCAGGTTATTGCTGTGTAAGGGCACACCAACCAAGGCTACTGCTCCGTACTGAAGATGATTAACCGTGCAACGACTTCATTCAGCTCAATCCCAACACCCTCCTCTGGCTGTGCGTCTCTGGCATCCTCTGGGAATCAACAGCAACGTGGTTTTCAGTCCAGCTCAGCTTGGAGAGAAGACTTTGCCAAGTCTGAGATGAATTAATTGTCTTACACAGCTCTCTCCTTTGTAGCAATACGCTCAAGCTGTCCAGACTTCAGGGTAGGACTTACTGGAAGTAACAGTCCTTCCTTCCCTCCCCCAGCACACAGCAGGCAAGTGCCACCACCACCAGCAGGGGACAAAAATGAAGGTTTACGGCTCCAGAGCAGGTATCAGACACGGCACTTCCACTTTCATCCCTGTTTATGATGGAAAAAAAGATAGATGTAAATTCTCTGCAATGTTGGCAGCCTGCAGCGTGATTCAGCAACAAACGTACTTAATGGCCCTGCCTGGATGAGATTCCCTCCCAGGCAGTGGCAGGTCACCCCCATCGAAAGGGCCAGAGGCATTATAGGGTGCTGAGCCCCCAGCCCCATGGGTGCAGGGCCCCATTCCCCCATGGGGAGCTCACCCCATGGAGCCCACTGGGTAATAACTCAGCAGCAATGAAACGCATCAACGTTGTGATGAAACAGATTCAGCAATTTGACTTGCTGTGGTCACACTTAGGAAATGGTTTTGCCCGTGTTGGTGAGGCAGCAGGACGAACAGACAGTTCAAGACCACCTCGGTGGTCCAAACCCAAACCCCTTAGTCTCTGGTGTGACACAGTGAAGCTTTGGTCTGCCTGTCGTTTTCACAGGCAATATTATGATACCTCTTTTCCTTTCTTAAAGATGCATGCTGTAGGTTTTTTTCTGGAGAGGGAACACCCCCCAGGTGCTCAAAGCCAGAGAGGATTTAGATTAAATGTTCACAAACTCGTGACAAACAGATCTGTTTTCCTTCTGTGCGTCTCAGAAAACAATAAAAGGCAGAGTAATTAGTGCTTGTAGATCTGCTGCTGCCCACAACTCAAAGCCCAGCCTCTGTAAGTCAGAGTTTGTCTCAGTGTTGGATCTGTCCCCGAGGTTCCAGGCAGCACAGCACCAGGACATCACTGCCCAACAACCCCCAGTGAGACACAGGGGCTCTGCAGCCCCGAACACACCAGCTAGGAGCTCAGCTTTCCCATTTATCCCCCAGCCCTTCTCTTAAACTGCCACCCCCTGCCTGCCTCTGCAGCCTGCTAAGACATCCATAACAAATTCACTGTATTTCTTCAGTGTGTCCATTCCCCGCTGCTTTGAGAAGTGCAAAGTTAACAAGATCTTCTGGTTCTTACTCCTAAATGCCCCCACTGGTAACACCAGCTAAATCAGAGTTCTTGATGTTTAGTTTCCCATCCCAGGACACCAGCTGCTCAGGCTGTTCTCTGTCCTTAAGAGCCACCAGCCACGGATACCTACTCACAGCCACACAGCTCCCAGCTTAAACCAGCTAATCCCATTTTGCCATTGCACAAAGCCTGTGTTATTGAGCTGCACCATCCCCTTGATGCCTCCACTCATGCAAGAGGCATCACTGTCTGCAAAAGGACCCTTGGAAACGCGAGTGGGATCACAGGGGAGGTCCAAAGAGCCACCTTCATTTCTCCTGATGGAGAAAAAAACCTCATAGATGCTTAGAAAATTCAGTGTAAATTTCTTCCCACTATTCAGCAAAGCAAAGGGACCTGTGGTTGTGGTTGGTGGTACCCGTGCATAATAAATGATGGAGTGGTCCTGGCGGGGAGAGCTCTCGAGGAACTGATGCCATTTGCATCTCAGCACACGATGTCTGAGGTTGCTTTAAGCCATTTTTGGCCTTCTTCGTGCGTTGCTTAAAGAACTCAGCAGGCAGGAAGGCTGGGCAGGAAAGAACAATGGTTTTGTCTGGGAGGAGGAGGAGGATTCTACTCACATAAAACCCCCCAACACACCATGGAGAGATTTCCCTTCAGTGGCGAGATTCCCCTCGGAGCATCCTGACCGTGTCACCGAAGCAGCCGGGCAGATGCAAGTTCCAGACTTCAAAGAGGGGAGCTGACAGCCTCTCCTCTGATGTTTTGCTAAAGAGATGGGAGTGCCAAGTGCTTTAGCCTCCTGTTTTATTAATATGCTGCTCTGATGGGCTCATGTATAATAGATACGCAAAGGAACAGCAAGAGGTTTACATCCAATCTCCATGTTGCCTATGTTTTCTACTGAACACTATAGGCTCCCTTCACCTCTTAATGTTTCTCTTCGCTAATGAATTTGCATGAGCTTGGGGGTTCAAGCAAAGGACGAAAAGTTGGTCACCAATTCCTCAAATGGTTTCCGTGACTTCGCTCCAGACTGGAGCCACGATTTAAAAGCACAGGGAAAATATTGCCATTTTCTCTCTCATGCCTGATGCTGGCTGCTGTTGAAGAGTGAGCAGCTGAGGGTTTCCTCGGGCACCCTCAAAGCCAGGCACAGCCTCTGGCTCGGCAGGTCATTTGTGAGGATGCGGAGCCCTGTGCTGCGGCAGCGGCATCGCGCAGTCGCAGGGGGAGAGCTCAGGGCTGTGGAACTGCGGCAGCAGCACCTCGTGATGCTCAGCGCACGAACACGCCTGGCTCTGGGGCTGCTCCCTCCCCTCTGCGCAGGCACGAGGGGCTTGGAGCCCAACCCCGGGCCAAAAAAATGGATAGATTGCACCCCAAAACCTCTCCTTACTCACAGAGCAGTAGAGACTTAAAGATAAAATTAGGTTGTGTGGTGGACATCTTCAAAATCTGAAGTTCACCACACACTCCTGGTAGGCTACAGTCAAAGGGCAGAGAAAAACTGACTTTTTGAGGGTGCTGAAAGACTCCTCCTTCCCATTTTCCTACCCAGAACCTTCCCCTCTGCAGTTGAAGACTTTTTCTCAGCACCACCCTGCACGTCGCCTCCAGTTCAGATCCGTCACTGCTCCCCTGGGAACGCAGTCAGAGTGACACGGACATGGCTCCCCATCTACACAACGAGACAGTTAATCAGGAGTCTGGCCAATCCTGTGTGGTGCAGGGTAGACATTTCTATCGCATCTCAAACTCATTTTAATCAGAGAAGACATATCTCATAAACTGCATAGAAGGATGGGTGGTTCGGATGGATAGAACTGAGGAGAGCCAGGCTTGCACAGGGAGGTGTGAATTGCACCAGCAGATCAGGGCACTGCTCTAAATGAGGACCTTGCCTTTATGGTGGTTACTGCTGGATCCTTCAGAAGATGCAAACTCCCACCCTGCAATTCCTAGAATACCTAAAATAGAGTAAGGGGAATTTCTCCATGAGCTAAGCTACCTAGTTTATGTGCGCACACAACAAAAAAAAAAGCAAGGCGACTGCTGGTCCTCATTGTTTCCAGCTTAGCTGTAATGTTAGATGCTATTCTTGCTCAAGAGCTGCTGAACACTTCTGAAGCCTGCAAAGTTGTTTGCTTTAATAGCACACAGCGTGAAACAAAGCAAAGACGGGAAGTCTTCCCAGTGAAATGCCTCCTTCTGCTGAGCTCGCTGTATCTCGCTGCCTCTTGGAAATGTTTAATTATAGGCTGCAGATTCTAAAGCATTTTCTTGCAATTATTTGGTCCCAGGTCCAAATTCATAAACCCCTGTATTTCATACTCCTTCCCTGCGAGGATCGATGCAAAGGGATCACTTCATCAATTCCAGCTGGGCAGAGAAAACAAAACAGCATCTCACCTGCTGCCCTGTAATTCATTACCAACCTGAAACAGCTGGGCCAGGTACACACCAGGCCCTAATAAAATTAAAGGAACGTTGATAAAACCTGGGATCTTTAAAGCTCTAAAGCTACGCTCTATTTTTACCTTGATTTTTGATTGCCACATGTGCAGAAGGTATAAGCTGAAGTGTCCCAAAAATCGGGTTTACAGCTGTGGAATAGGCCCTGCCCAGGCGGTCGCTTGTCTTGGCCTCTCCTGGACCACTTTTAGGCCAGAAATCCCCTCCGAAGGGCACTGGTGGCACCCCACTTAACTGCTGAGTTAAGGAAACCTCTTTCTGAGGAAGCATGGGAGCCATTCCTTCCCCTGGGATGTGGCTGTGCCTGTGGTCAGACCCACAGAGGCTGGTGGTGGTGCAGAATGGCCAACATCTGCCTGTGGGACACGGCCAAGTACACAGCAATGCTCTGCCAGCAGAGACACGGCCACCTCCAGCAGCCTCAGGTTTCCCAGGGCCAAACACATACACAAAAAGATCTGACCACCGAAATCCCCACAGCAGCATCCCTCACACCCCTCCTCTTTGCCTCTCCCAGAGGCACCACAGCACAACTCAGAATCACAGAATCGCCACGGTTGGAAGAGACCTCTGAGATCATTGAGTCCAACCTCAAAAAAACAAACAAAAACCAAACAGAAAAAACACCCACAAAAACAAACCAACCAACCAAAACAAACCCAACAAAACAAAAAACACAACACCACACCCCACTCACCCACAAACCAACAATCTTGGGCACTAGAGCATGCCCTGAAGAGCCACGACTACATGTTTCTTAAATACCTCCAGAGATGGTGACTCCACCACCTCCCTGGGCAGGCCGTTCCAGTGCCTGACCACCCTCTCAGGAAAGTAATTCTTCCTAATATCTAATCTAACCCTCAGACCATTTCCTCTGCTCCTGTCATTATTCCCTTGGGAGAAGAGGCCAACCCCCACCTCTCTACACCCTCCTTTCAGGGAGTTGTAGAGGACAATGAGGTCTCCCCTCAGCCTCCTCTTCTCCAAACTAAACATTCCCAGTTCCCTCAGCCTCTCCTCGTAGGACTTGTTCTCCAGACCCCTCCCCAGCTTGGTGGCTCTCCCCTGGACATGCTCCAGCAGCTCAATGTCCTTCCTGTGGTGAGGGACCCAAAACTGAACCCAGCACTCAAGTTGAGGCCTCACCAGTGCGACTCGAGCTGAAGCATCCCTGAAGTGCCACAAGAATTCGTCGTCCCCTGAATATTTGTTGATTTTTTAGTTTGGTTTTGTGGTTGTTTTGTTAATCTAACCTTAACCTAAGCCAGAGCATAGGCTTGAAGATTATTTACATTTCCCGAAATGTATGGAAAGGTGGGAAGAGCTGGTCAGCAGATCCCTGGGTCCCCCTGTGAGGTGCAGACACACGGTGAAGGGGCAGTTTCTGCCCAAATAGAAAACTATTGTTCCTTTCCTGAGGGCAGACGTGCCAGGAACGGTCTCTGCCGCCCGCTGAGCCCCCTCCCGCCCGCGGCCTCTTCCCAAGCTGCATTTCTTTACATAAGCAGCGCCTGCTTTTATAGACCTGACTCACAAACCTCCCCACCTCAGTAATATTTTAAAGTAAATTTAGCACTGGTGATACATGCCTGACCTAGAGGGAACTCCATTTATAGCGCAGCAGGGAAATATCCACGTAACCCCCTCCCCGTCTGCACTGGGCCTCCCCGCCGGGGTGTTTCTCCAGCATCCAGGGGACAAGGTGACCAAGTCCAAGTGTGGGTTCAGCCTCCCCCAAACGCTGGAAGGTGGTGGACAAAGGACATCCTGCTTGTACCCACCCACGGATGGGTACCCGTGGCACAGGTACCCACCAGCCTCCAGCGGTGACAAGGTCCTTCCACGCTCCAATTCCTTTTTCACGTAATAACTGGTGGTTTGTGCGTCGACAGCCGGACCTGCCAGGGCCACCCCATCAGCACTTTCACCATTTCTTTTTACACCTGCAATATTCCTCAGCGTCCTGCAGAGTCTTAAGAAAAAATTCCCTTAAAAAAAATCTGACGTTTCAGCAGCATTTCACCCACGAAGCAGCCAGCTCAGCACGGGTCTGAAGTCAGAGGGATCTGTAGCAGATGACAAACACCTTATGAAAGTTTCCACTCTACAGCCAGCAGCTCCACAGGACTTTGCAACCTGCAGCTCGGAGCTTCTAGTTCTTTCAGAGCACCTTTCGAAGACAAAAAGTTGGAGAATATTGTCCCCGCTTCCAAGAACCTCGCATGGGACAGATGGGTGTGGGCCAGGAAGATAAGAAAATAAAGAAAACATCTGAAGGGAGTAGAGCCTTCCTGTTTACAGCGCTTGTGGAAGAGCACGCTGTGCACCAGGCATCGGTGACTTCTCAAGCTGGAGCTCTAAGGTGTGGCTTTGATCGATAAGCTTCAAGTCACCCTGGGACAGCCTTTCTAGACTTCAAAGTAAGGATAGATTTTTATTTTTTTTAAATAAATGAAAATTATGACACCGAAAACAAATTCCTATGTCTCAAATGTCTAGTTGAAGCCAAACGGCCGGGAAGCAAAGGAGGAGAACGTGATGGGCAGAGCAGTGAGCAGACAAAGGTAACGCAACACAAGATGCAAGATCTAAATGGACAGAAGACCTCTCAAAAATCACACCACTGACCAACAGAGGACTCACAGGGCGTGAAAGTCAACACAACCAGAAAATCATCCACAATGAGAACACTGCAAATGCTGTTTCAAAGGCAGAGGGACTTTCATTACGGCCAGGCTTCTCCTGCTTTCCTGGCGGTGCTACCAAAAGTGGGTTAGCAAAGCCTCAGGGTCCCATTAAGAACAAAGAGCGAGGAGGGGCTGCAGGGAGAGGGGAGGATGAAGCGAGGGCACAAACGCCTGCGACGGTCTCAAAGAGCTTGCAAAGAAGGGGGAAGATGAAGGGAACAGCAGGCTCCGGGTGTTTAATGAGCACAGCACAGACATTATGGCACAGACACCGGCAGCACAGCTTTTAGACCCCGAGCCCCTGCTTTGGATAAAGGGCTGGCATTCAGAAAATGTAAATTCCTACTATAAACATTGAAATTCGCTATTAAAACATTCAAAAAAAAAAAAAAATAAATCAAGTCCACACAGCAGTGCATCTCTCACATTCGGCGAAACGCGTAAGACAAAGACGCTCCTGTCTCTCCCTCTGAATTTCTAATGGGGCACTCGGCTCCCTTTGAGCAGGAAATCTGCTGGTGGGATTGCTCCAGGACCACGGGAGAGGAGCAGGGCTCATCCATAATGCACGGACACCCAGCTCCTCGGGAAGGACAGCACTTCTCAATAGGAACAACAGTATTCTGGGAGGCGGATGGTTAAAAATATATATCTTACGCCTGTGCCACCATAAATTATTGACTGTACAGGGAGTTGGAAAAAAGGATTCAGCTCCATTAATAATTTAATTTCTAATCCAGAAGAAGATGGAATTTTATGCACCACTTATTACCACTGCCACAACTGGAAAAGCGAACTGCGCTTCCCACTACCTGAAACCAGAATTGCCTTTCCATTTTCGCAACAGTTTTTGAAGTTTCTTCTCCAACTTGAAACATACAGTCAAAGCCTTCCCCTGAGAGCCCATATGGTCATTCCTGAATATTTAGCAGGCACATTAAGGATACAGAAATCTCTCTCTACTATAAAGCAGCTCTACAGGCACAGCACGACAGCTCTGAAATGAAGAGAACTGCCTCTCTTTTCCTCCAAGCCTTATGCAAATAGACAGCTATCACACTGCCAGGCAGATTTTCTTGTTTGAGAAAATAAATAGGAGTGGTATTGAAAGATCTAGCACCAATTGCAAAAACACCAGGTACAAAGGGGTCCATCAGGCACGACGCTGCCTGGTTTGAACGCCTGAGGATGGAAAAGGGGGTCCAGAGCACCAGAGCATGGCCAGAAAACTACAGGGCACAACAAAAGCTTATGGAGTTTTTACAATTGCTTGTACCATGTTCAAAGTATTTTTGGTGTTTGTGTAGTGATTGCAGAAGGGAGGGGGGAAAAAAAAAAGGTACCCAAATACTGAGAAGGGCTTAATACAGAGAGGAGGCTCCTTACGCTGAAAAGGTTCTTCAAATCAACATCAGTGTTGGTGTGCATTTGGGAATTAAATGTTTTATATATTATGGATATATAAAAAAGTTTTTAAAGCTTACCTGTAAAGAAAACCTTCCTTGTTCCATCCATCAAAGAGCAGCAAGAAATAAGTCCTGACTATATTCAGACTCTTCCAATGTCGAATGCCTGAAACAGACGGGGAGAAGGGGAAACCCAGGTCTGCACACGCAGGCAGGAGGAACACATTCCTCCAAACGGAGCATTTTGGGTCAGGAAATGCTCCATCATATCTGGTATTTGGTACAAAAATGAAGAATGCACTAATTGGTATGTTCAGTGACAATCCCAACCTGGAGAGATGAATTTTCTCTGCATCTTCCCTGAAGGTTAGGTAGGCAAAGATCGTCATGGGGAAAGAACCAGGCACCCTGCTTAGAATTCTAATTTATTATTAAATTACATATCAAAGCTTTTTTTTTAATACATACAGAGAATGCACAATAGGTGAGAACAAAAATAATTACAGTTACAATAAAATAAGTTTCAAGAAGCTGTATGAAAAGCAAAAAAAAAATCAGAAAGTGCAATCAGAAACTCACTCACAAGGATCTGGAGTGGGACACTTTGTGAGAAAGGGCTTTATTTTTTGTCTTGAGTGTTTATTTCAACTGCTTTCCTCAGTAGTAGACAGACCAACAGCCGCTTATGTATTCAGAACTGAAACATCACCCCTGGTTTCAATATCCAGTTGACAGGACACAGGCTACAGGGCACCAAGAGGACCTGTGGATGTCACCTAGAATATGGCTCAGTTTTGTCTCAGTACATCTGCCACCGCAGCCTCCTGCACCGCACACGGCTCAGCGGGACCACTCTCTGAAGGATTTCATAACCTGACACTGTTTTAAGGAGTTTTGGAATTATTTCCTCTTTCAGAAGTGCTACAGCTGTTACCTCTCCTTCCCATTTCAAATGAAAACTTTGGGGGAAAAAAAAGGTAAAAATAGAAGGTTATGCATCAAATGATCTTGGGAAACAAGCTGCCAGGTTAAGGGAGTTAAAACAGTGCTGACTAAATGAGTTACACAATCAGAAGTGGTGGGTCAGACTTTGCTCCTGTGCAGTGGTTTTGGGGGAGCTTCAGGAACACAGCTCCAGAGCACAACCTCTCATTAAATTTACGTGCAACTTTCACATCACCTAAAAATCTACTTTTGCTCTTTCGTTTTCAACATCCAGTGAGGAACTGACTCTTTCTTCTCATGGTAATCTTTAGACTGTCTAAAAGAAAGGACCTTCTAAAACTACAAATTGAAAATTCTAGTTGATTATTCAAGTGTAACGAAGCCAGCAGGAATTTATACCTCACTTCAATAGCCAAAAACTCCTGAAACTAATATCGGTTAATTAAAAAAAGAAGAAAAAAGTGTTGTGCCTTCCCAGGAAGGGCAAACTCTCCTATGGCCAGAAGCACCAGGCTGCCTGGTGCAGGGTCGGAGAGGGCAGCAAAGCCCTGCTCAGCACGTCCCCGTGCAGGGCTGGGGATCAGCTACGGCCACACTAACTCTCCCTTCTGACTGACCACACAACACTGGGTGTTGCCCAAATGCCATTCCTCTGCTCTAGCAGCCAGCTCTTGAAGATCAGATAAACACGTTAAAAAAATAGTCAAAAAAGCAAGGATAAAAATATCCACGTCTACGTGAAACATGGCATCGAGTGTTATCAATAAACCCTTATGTTCCAATGCCAACCTAAGGGGTCGTTGGACAGATTTAAAGTAGGTGCCTGTGTACTGGCAAGAATAAAGCAGCAATTAAAAAAATGTGTGAGAGAAACGTGCCCTGTAGAAATACTATGGATTTACTTGCTTCATTTGTATGGCTTAACAATAACTTTCTTAGCACAATTCTATTGGGTTGAGTTACGAAACGGCAACTTTGCCAGGAATTGCAGAAATGAGACTTCTTTAACCACGTTTTTTTCCTTAGAGCAAGAGGAACCACACAATGAAAAGCTTCGAGAAATATTTAGCAACAAGAGACGTACAACCCCTCTATTTTAGGGGTTGACATTAAATACTGCACAATCCACTGTTCTCATTTACAGTCCACTGCCCTCAATACAGGTCCGTGTTATTAGAGTCGTTCAGGAGAATTAGCAAATCCTTTCCCCCCTGGCTCTATGCAAGGAAACCACTTCAGAGAGCAGTGCAGAACGCCCGCTCACACTGCTGGGGGACTACAAGAAGATGATGAAGGGGAAACTACAAGGTTAATTAAATGTATTTTTCAACACAAAACTCTGTCTCAAAACCAACAGGAATAAAAACCACGGCGGGGTTGCCAACACTGAAACCATTTCCAGTAAAGCTTTATCAGAGATAATTCAGCGCATTTCTGTTATTTTATACTAAAATATATCGGGTTCCTCCGTAACATTTTCATAACATGAAAAATCAATTATGTTTACATATTTATTATAATCTACATATTTTCCATAGCAGCTTTTTCACACAATAAGATTAAATATATGCACCAAATAATCAATTAAGTCCAGTAAAAAGACTGGTTATAAGATTAAATAAGTGAATTTATTTACGGTACTGCAGATCTCATATTGCCAGCTATATAGCAACCAAATCCTACAAATCCTAAACAGAAGCACGACTGTTGATCAGGGTCCCTCAGGGGGTGGTGGAATCAGAGAAAAAGCATCAAGAAGAAGTTTGATCTCCCAACACACAGATTCATTAATAAACCTCCTTTATCCATCAAGGTTTTTTATAAACCCCTTTAATAAACATTTCATTTCAAACCAGGAACATTCCCAAATCAACCAAATAATCGCCTTTTATTTAAAATACAATCCCCACAGTCTTACACATATTAATTCCGAATCCTTTCTAATCCCAACAAGAAGATGACTGATTAGAAGCCTTTGTTGACTTTTTAGCACAAAGTTATTAGTCTGCAAATAAGCCTTCAAATCCATACAAACATTTTAGGTGCAACAGTGTGGGTTTGCACACTACACAGGCACAAGTCTCTACTCCCTCTGACAGGTACTTCACAGACACTATAAAAAAACAGTAAAAAAAATTGTGTCCATCCCACCAGACTCTGTTCCAGAGGAGAACCTGGAGACTACCTGACACTTACGGCTAATGGCATACATGAAATCTGTTAGAAGCACTGTAAATTGATTGTGAAAAGAGTTAATCAAGTTCTTAGAAAGGTATTTCAGTGCCTCAGCTTGAATTTATTGGGTTATGATATGAAAGATGGAAAAGAACTGTTGAAAGAGCAGAAAAATCCCTAATTTGTCAATCTGCAATATCAGAGCCATTCCTGACGTCAGCTTTGTTTAGGGACGCAAACACAACAGGATTCATGTTGCATGTCTGGACAAAAAAAAAAGTTCCCCCCCTAGATAATGGTAATTAATACTTGTTTCACTATTCATACATTCAACTCTTTACTATGAGGAGTTATGTCCAGAACTTTTGCACGCAGATACATTTGCCTCAGGTATAACCATCATAATCTTCTTTTCCAATTGACAGTTTAGATTATATCCTACTTACAGTGTAAAAATATTAATGCTATTAGAATAACTTTATCTAAATTACAATATAGACTTTTCAAACTGCTTATCCTTGAGGTCTTGATAAAGACCTTTATGACGCCAGCCAAAATCAAAGTATTTACACCCAAAAGACTACTTTTAGGTGAACTCAGGTTTGGTCACTTTTCAGATGACTGAACACTATGTAGTAAACAGCTGTTAGGACTCTGTGCTCCCTTGTTACAAAGGGGGACTTGTTTGTCCCTTTAAAGCCACAAGAAACCTTATAAATTTCCTCAGAGGGTATTTTATTCATATTCTGTGCAAAAAGTGAACTGAACAACCCTTTTTTTTTTTTTCTTCCTCCTTTGAGGAATTTGTGTGAAGCACAGTTTTCACAGCACAAATTATGCAGAAATAACTAGTATCTCAACCATGAGTTAAAAAGAATTACAGAACATGTATTTAGTAGTAAAGCAACCCGACGGCTTAAAGCTGCAATATTCTTCTCAGAGGGCAAAAGTGTTCAGTACTTGGCCCTCAGGGGAAACTGGTTTCCTGCTGAGTTTCCACCCAAGGCAAGCTTTTTCCCAATCTTTTTTCCAACACCAGACCACTGCTGAGCACAGAAACTGTTCTCCAGGTTCTGGTAAGCATCCCATATTGACTTACCTTGCAGTGAGAAAAGGGAATTAAAGACAAACAAATCCCACCAAATTTAACCAAAGGAAGATGTACGGCAGGGAAGGAGAAACACTGCAGCTTCAACCCCAAACCAGTGTGGCAGTCTACCATCATAAGCTCTAGCCATCGTGCTGACGTGGCCGGCCGTGTCGAAGGGGCTGTGTGAAGTCTGGTGCTTCCCCCACTCAATTTTTCCTTGACTGGGGGGAGAGGGATGGTGGTGATGAGTTTAGCAGAGTCCAAGGAGGGGGGGAAACATCCATCAATGAAAAGCATATAGCAGCAGTAAGATGGTACAGATGCCAACAATGCCACCCAAAATGAGGGAATCTCGTCGTTTCCGAAGGTTGATCCTTTGGATCAGGCTGTTCACTGCTGGAAACCGATCTTAAGGGGTCTGAGTCAAGGTCATATCAAACAGTATCTTCACTAACAAGCCCTGAATTCTGTATGTGGAAATCCCAATACTGCAAGAAATGCAGAACTACTCGAGTCTGGAGAAAGCAGATGCCGTAAAAACACACCTGATGGACAGTTAGTGAGATTACAACTGTATTTCACTAATAACACCCAGAGAAGAGAGAACAGAACAGCTTAGAGTGCACATTTACACAGAATTCATCACCCAATCACCTAAATTACCTACATCACACAAGGCTTAGTTACTTTTAATAACTGTGTTTAAATGAGAATGAAAAAAAAAAATAAATGGGGCAGTTACATAAAACATCTGTGGTATTTATTTAATGGAATTCTGTTACTGGTGAAGGGAAAAACTAAAAGCATTTGACTGAGAAAATCACACACGTTGCATGACTACACGGTGTTCAAGTATAGCACATAAGGAAGAACTCCTACTGTAAAATAATGAAGATGTAAATCTATCTTTTAATGTACAAAATACAATTGTCTACAAGATAATACATTTCAGAGCTTCATGTCTTTGGAACCAAGAATCTTTTAAGGCCAAAGCTTATTGAATTTTTTGTGTTCTTGCCAGTTGCTAAGAACTGTAATGAAATTTATGGGTTACCCAGATACATCTCTTCAGGATGTAATCTGTCTAATCAAATGATGCTAATGCTGTTCTTTGGGCCCTTATGACAGAAAGGAAGGAGTAAGTGGGAAAAAGGGTGAACATGCATGAGTTGACAATCCAACGCATTCTTCAGCCATGAGCACAAGATATAAAGAGAAATCAACAAGCCAAAATCTTAATAAACCTGTGACAGACAGGAGGATACTCAGGTCATGAATACTCTTAGCTGTAAACCATAACAAGCAGCAAAGTACACCAAGCTTCAGCTCTCGACAGTCTTGAAAGCAAACAGCAAGAAGTAAAATGAAATCATACTTTTAGAAAACCATATAGCAGAGAAGGCCATACAATGTTGCTGCAGATCTCCACCTGAAAATTAAGCTACAATGATGTGTAGGTAGCATTCAAATTTGAGTAAACCCAACTTATTCAGCACATTCATCATTAAGATGCTTCAGTGAGATTATCAAGTGAGACTGGTAAAAAAATGGCCTGTTTGTCACTAATGACAACACCAGTACAGGTTATACAGCCATTGACGTCGCAAAGCATTTTGATCCACAAATGTCAGAGTGAAAAATTATACTATACCTCCTCTTATGCACAGGCAGCACAAATTTTTAGGAAAAGGATACTAGCCAAGGTATTCATCTTGCTTTGTATTGACTTCAGCATCCCTCTCTGCGAAGTCATATTTTCTTTAGTTGCCATGGCAATGCTGGAGAGAAAAAAAAAAAAAGAGAGGATCAAGTTGTTGGTGCTAAGAATAATCTACAGCTAAAACAAGAGGAAAGCAAGCAGACAACGCTTCTTTAGAGAACAATGAATGAGGTGAAGCAACGTGAATGAAACCACATTTTTTTTCCATTAATCTCTATCCTTTACACTTAAATGATTTCTCTTTTATGTAGAGCCATTAGCAAATGAAAACACTGATTTCTTGAAACAGGCAGGGTTTTGGCATGTCTCCCCTAGCCCCAACAAAAAATGGTACTACATTACGAGCAAACCTAAAGGTACTCTTCTGGCATAAGTTTTACATTTAGAAGTTTGTTTAATCACAGAAGCCCCACACTTACTCTCACTCTAGAGAGCGTATGAAATTTCTTTTCTGCCATCAGGATATGATGGCTACAGAAGTATTAAGCAAGTAAGAGCTGACTCACAATTAAAAATCAATTTGCAAAGTGAATGTGCTGGTTGAGAGGAGATCTAAGTGCAGTTTGAAACCCAACACAGCTTACGGAGCTTCTCACAGAAGGCTTCTGGACAATCAAGATGGGACATAGAGTCACCAAGTCCTTGAAGATGTTTGAACACAATGAAGGGTTGGGATCTACTTGCTTTGACTCAAGATAAACACTGTCCTCTGACTCCAGATAAATGGGCAAAGCCTGGGTTCTCCTGCATTAACATCTCCTCCCAGCAAGCCTCACCTGACTGTTTTCCATAAGCTGGAGTTGAGGGAGCTGGTTTCTAGTGAAATCATATCAAATGATGCTTCCATCACAGCACAGATCAAATACATTTTTGAGCTTTGGTCCTAATTAAGAATATAATTCATGGCTATATAAGTTTTCATACGCTGTTTCTTTACTAATACATGGTCCAGCTGTATGTACTTCATCCAAACATAAGAACACAATACAGGTTAATATAAAACAGAATTTCCTATTTCAAATTTAATAAATTCTGGAAATTGGAAAAAAGCAACTGTGCTCTTAAAAATAAGACATTTAAATGAAGATTTTGAAGAACACTCAGCTGACAAAATTTTCTCTCTACCTTAAGTTTCTCTGCAGCTCATAAAACAGATTTATAGGAAGGAAAATGAAAGGGCAGGCTACTGCTTGCAGCCCCAGGTAGCACTTCATGTAGCTACTTTGAATGCAATAGCTTTGTCAAGACAAACTGCACAGGCTCATTTACACCTAGAGAAACAATATATAAATGTTTAGGCTCTGGAGATAAGGTGCCTAAGAAGGAACAGTATGCTCTGCTTGGAAGTTACTCATTTCAAAACTAAACAAAATAGGACATAAATACAACATGACTGGAAAATAACTCAGAAAATGACACCTGTATTGCTGTTGACTATATCTACATGAATATCAGCAATTAAAACAAGTTCTTGGACAAGTTTGTGAACCTTTTATAACAAAGACCATTTGATACCTTTTATTTCAAGTTTCTCTCTGAACAAAACAACACTTGGAAGGAGCAGCTCTGGATCACCTACCAGGACACTACAGTCAGTATCACAAGAGCTGGCAAAAACCAGTGGAGCCAAAGCTCACAACTGCCCTTCAAGACTCACAGCGAAAGGTCGGTATCAGAGTTCACAAACATCTTAAAGAAGAGAAGAGAACAGCCCGGATCAATGATCCCTAAAGTATTTCTGGAGCAGCGAGTTCCTTTGGGCTCCCTTCCATTATATCTGCCTACTCTATCTCAAGTAGCCCTTGATACAGTATCTTCAGCCTTCCCATAATGTGCCAGGCAAACTTAAAAAAAAACCCAAAAAACAGACAGACAGGAAAAAAAAAACCAAACCCCAAAAAAGAAGAGAAAAAAATCTTCTATCACCTCTTCAGGTGGAGGCTGCGTCTTCCAGCTCTGTTTTTGCCCCAAAAAACTAAGAGATCATCAAGCCAAAGCCCGAGTGATTTAAGTGGTATGATTTTTTTTTAGCAGAACACCTTGGAAAGCAAGAGAAGTTCATCACACAGATGTATGTGAGACAGAGGTGACAGAAGGGCCAGCCTGTGGCTCTCATAGCTTTCAGGTCACAGAAGACTCTTCCAAAAGCTCTATACAGCAAGTTCTTTTAAATAGAACAACATGCATCGACAGGGCAGATCAATGTATTATTTTAAGGTTATATTAACATTCTGGTAAACTTGGACCTACATTACGAAACCGGGAGTTTATCAGTCATAAAAAGAATATAAACAGTTTGACAACTGTTTGATAACTCTGACATTTTCAACCAGCAGCTCTGTAAGAATAGATTTAACATTTTAATGCTAAGTTTTGAAGTATTAGATAACAAAAAAAAAAAAAAAGGGAAGTTTCATGGCAGAACTAAGAAAAACCTTCCAGCATTTTTTCTTTCATACTTTTGAATTGCCAAATCAGCAGAAAGTTAAAATGAAACTCCTAGTTAACTGGAAGCAACAGGGCTTGAAGTTGCCTCCTTGGTGTTTATGCATCTGAGTATCAATAAAAAAATAAAAGTTACCATCAAGGGCTGAAAAAAGGGTTACAAAATCAGAACAGTAAACACATCAAACTGTATCATACATGAGAAGATATGGCATTTGACAGTTTATATACATTTATAACTCAGCATACAGGTATTTTAGTTTTCTAAAGAAAAGAAAGCTTGCTCAGTAACCTGCAGCTTATCTTACCACCCCACCATGATTTGATACTTGCCCAGATGAAGTTTTAATCCAGCATTTCTCAAAGCACTCCTGAATTAAGCCACGTGTTTTCATAAGATGCATTCAATGACTCATTAAGGCATCCATTAATTTACAGAAGTGAAAATACAAGGTGAGTGCCAGGATATAAAGTGTTCCCGAGACGTCTCCTTTGGAAATAATTGTTACAGATTATCAGGGAACACAAGGTTCCTGGTTTAACATCTGAGGAGTGAAAATGTCCATTTTGTAGGAAAAAAAAAAGATTACAAAATTGGAACGTTCATTATTTCTTTTACCCAGTATTTTGAAAAATTTAGCTCAATGGGCTAGGTTTTACTGAGAAGCTCTGAAGAAAAAAAATACTTGTAGTGATTACCATTTTTAATATGATATGGTCTAGTAATGAAAGGGAATTGTGATAGCCATGAACAAGAGTTTAACTGGATTCCAGCTACCGTAACAAGTCAAAATCCAAATAAAAAGCACTGTTCTTCATATATAATTTGATTACTCAAAACACAAGCTGGTTTACTTAAACCTTTATATCTGTAAATGAGACTACTAAATTTTAGCACTACCAGCAAACACACAGCTCCTGGAGACTAGTCCACTGATTGGTCTCGTACAGTCTTAAGTATTGCAGCTTTCTCAGATCCTTCATTAATTAGCCAGTTTTTGGTTTCATTCCCATCCCTAACATATGCTCATTGACTTACTGTTGCCATTTCTCCACTGACAAATGCATTTTTTTACAAAATTAATCATATTCTTCCCATTCACAATATTGGCCCCATTCAGTTACTCAACACTGTGATCTCCCCAGATGAAGAATATCTTTTTTGTTCCGTTTCAAAACTTCTACGCAACGTTTATGATAAAAGATTAAATGCTTCTTACTGGAATCAAGATGACCCTGATTTAACATTTTATTTAGAAACTACCATGAACTATTCCCGGTGCTGCACTGGCTTTAACTACTAGAGCTGGGTGTAAACCAAGTTTCTAAAACCAGATGGTATTCTGCTCTCTATATTTAATATTGAAGCACAACATTAAAGATCACTGCACTGCTGGAGAGATCTCTTCTAGGTAAGCCCAAGGTCACAGCCACAATGAGCCCACCCACCTCTTCCACAAATCAGCAGGAGTATCTCAAATTCCTGTGCTTGCAGCCCTATTTCCTCAACATTCCACTTACGTTTCAAGCTTGTCCTTGAGTGTTCAGCAGCGCTGTGGGTACGCAACCAAATTTCTCTTCAAAAGTAAACCAACTGATATTTGTACAGAGTTTGCAGTTTTCACTGGCATGAAAAAGTACAGAGTAATAAACACTTCCAGCCACTATCACAATCGAACTAGTCTAAAATACACTTTTAATGCTGCTTGACATGGAAGCAAAGTGTTTTTACCCAGACAAATGTCTACACTGTTGGGTATTTTCACCCCACGGAGCAGCCAGAGAGATACTGCGCATTAGCAAGTGAAACGTACCAAAAAGTCAATTCCTTGCTTCATCCACTGAGACAGCTCAGTCAAATCTACATTGATGAAGAACTAAAACAAAGCTCTAAAGGAACAAGACATGTTTTTAAAAATCAAATAATTCATGTATTACTGGAACTTCTGCTTCTTTTTGTACTCCGTGAATCATACTTGCTCATTTAAATTCATGACAACATCTATGATTAAGGGAATGGACTCTGTGACTCTGCATAGAAATGCAAGATCTAGTTTTAAATTGGTAACAATTCTGATTATATCACTTATTCTTTGCGTATAAATACGTGCATATATATTCCTATCTATAAATATACACACACATGTGTATGTATATATATATACATATATGAGTAGACACACACCCCATCTTTCAAATTACTTTATAGATTATGGTGTCCTTTGATGAAGACTAAGATTAAAAAAAAATAAATGAACATTTCAACATTTCCCCAGAAATGCAAGTGATTTTGCCGAGACACTCTGGCCAGGCTCTTCTGAAAAGAGCTAAGAGTCAAAACCCAATTCATGCCTTTCTATTCTGTAAAGTCAAGATTCAATGCAAAGTCAATGGTGAATTTTTGCCTATTATAAAATCCTAATTATCACTTAAAGAAATATTCCAAATATATAAAGAGACCTTTTTTTTATTTTTTATTAAATCTATGGCTTTGGTCTGGTCTCAGAGTAGAAATGGAGTAGTCCAATCTGTTAATACACAAATATGAACAAACCAGCTTGAATCAGGCCTCAGAAACAGTCTTTTACAATAAAAAAACCAAAAACTTGTCACACTGTACATGCAAAACTACAAAAAAATTCAAACCGAGCCAACCTAAAAATATAAGTTGTTGGAAAACAAGAAATAAATCGTTTGCTATTTTGGAGAAGTGATAATGTTTGAAAATGAAAACCTGAGAACACCAAACATATTAAGCAAAAAATCTATGCTTATATTTAAATCTGGCCAAGAGAAGCGAACGCTGTTCCAAAAGAACTGCAGTACAAAGTATCACATCCCACTCGTTTCTGGAAAGAAATATGCTGCAGTAAGAACCCGTATCGTGCAATTCGTTTTTAAAATGGATTAAAAGTTTAATACTAACAAAACATCTGGAATGACAGCCCTGCCCATCGCTTTAATTAGAAGCACCTGAGGGTAGGTGCCCACATATTCCTTGCAGGTCTGTTTGCTCCCGTGGAGGAACCACACACACAGAAGAGGGGGGCTCTGCCCTTCTGTGGTCTCTTCTCTACCCAAAATCAGAACAAGGGGCTCACAATTAGTGCTGCAGAATCCAGACAATGGGATCTGCAGCTTCTCAACAAAGGCCTCTGCACCCACAGGAAAATGCTTTCCAGTGTTTAGAATCACTGCTTAATAACAACCCCTAAAAATATTAAAAGTGATGTCTTAACTTCCTGAATTACACCCAAATAATGAGTAATGAACTACAGCAGATGTAAACCTTGAAGACAGAGCAGTACCAGTAGCCAGAATTAGCTAATTACATCTCTCACTTCACTCAAGGAATCTGTGCTCAAACAGCTTCCCCTGCACAGCTCCCGCTTTTACCTGGTTTACAATAAATAAAGCAACTAATACTCAGACATTGGGTGAGTTTATATCTGACAAATTCACTTAAAACACAGCAGAGTTTACTATCAATTAGTATCAATCCGGAACGCTTGCAATTACTGCCAACAGCAAGCAAAAGACTGAAACACAAAATTAACCCTGGTTTCAACCGTGTCAGAACTGAATTAAGATGATGTAAATGAAATTATATTTCCTGCTCAATGTCATTACCTAAACAAACTCTTTTTCTACAAAAAGAAGTGTAGAACATTTTTGGCAACAACTACAACAAGAAGTTCATTTGCTACAGATAATAAATGGAGTGCTGAAATCTAGTTTCTTTAAAAAAAATCAAAATTAATTCATGAACAGAAGGAATGGTTTCAGTAACCAGCACCAAGGAGCTCTGAACCCAGCCGTGGGGTAGGGATTACTGTGTGAGAAGCAGGCCCTCTTGAGACAGCCGATTTATAGTCAACCATGGGACAGCAGCTCATGAAAAAGAAACCTCAAAATAGTTTTAAACCAGCCAGGACACCTGCTGATGCCACCACGGAGCTTCTGAGTAGGCTCCATTGATGGAAGAACCTTGAGTACTGTGTCCCGTTTTGGGCCCCCTACCATAAAAAAGACATTGAGGGGCTGGAGCGGGTCCAGAGAAGGGCGACAAAGATGGTGAGGGGTCTGGAGAATAAGTCTTATGAGAAGAGGCTGAGGGAACTGGGGTTATTCAGCCTGGAGAAGAGGCGGCTGAGGGGAGACCTTATTGCTCTCTACAACCCCCTGAAAGGAGGGTGTAGAGAGGTGGGGGTCGGTCTCTTTTCCCAAGTCACAGGCGACAGGACAAGAGGAAATGGCCTCAAGTTGCGCCAGGGGAGGCTCAGGCTGGATATTAGGAAAAATTTTTTCCCTGAAAGGGTTCTCAGGCATTGGAATGGGCTGCCCAGGGAGGTGGTTGAGGCCCCATCCCTGGAGGTGTTCAAAAGACAGGTTGATGTAGTGCTGGGAGGTATGGTTTAGTGATGGTGATTCTTCTTGTTTGTTGGGCGGGTGTCTATTTTTGTCAAAGTTAGGTTGACAGTTGGATAAGAGGATCTTTAAGGTCCCTTCCAACCTAGAAGATTCTGTGATTCTGTGAACCTGGGTGAATATTCAGGTAGCCCATTCTGAGCTCCAGTTTGCCAGAGCTACGTTCGACTAAATCGACTGGGAGGGTCACTTATCACACACACACACACGTACTCTCAGCTCCTCTGATGACACTTAATCAAGAGACCAGGCAAAGAGCTTGAATGATAAAAGACGAGTGATTTTGCAGGATATTAAGCTTAATAAATCACCATATGCTGTTTAATGGTCTAGTTACTGGAGTGGCAGCAAATAAGAGATTCAACAAACATTGAGCATTTTTAGGAGACAGAAAAGTAGGGCTACAAGCATGGCAATAACGGAGATGATTTTTCATCAGGAAAGGGCTAGAACCCAAAGGAAAACAAATATTCACAGTAACCGTGCTAGAGCTTGGCAAGTATCTTTCTGAGGCTGTGGTGAGATTCTGTCCACATTTTCAGATGTTATTATACTGACCACTTCTGGCTCATCACTGCATATTAATGTAGTTTAACACATTCTTCCACCATGTTAATTACACTCAGCCCACTGTACATACTTAAGCTAGCCAGCCCTTAATGGACATAGAGCCTTGCTGCACCTCTAATTACTCTTTTTGGTCACTTATGCCAGTACATGCATTATCTGAGAGTGTATCTTGATTTCTTTCTTCCCTTTTTTTTTTTTTTAAAGTAATAATCTAAAATTTAAAACCATTAAGTCAGGCACTCTGAATTATTGGTTTGCAAAAATCCCAGAGTTCAATGGAAGACTGGGAAGGGCACAGATGGTAAAAGTAATTTATGATGCTACAGTTCTAAAGTTTCTAGATCAGTTAGAGAAGGTATCACTCAACTATTCAAACCATTTAAAAAAAAAAAAGAGACAAATAACTATACAGGAGCAACAACCTCTCAAGCCCTTGTGGGAAAAGTCCTTCTCTGTATCTTCTGCACAATAGGGTGCTGAATACACTGAAGGATTACAGAAAATCACGCTGTAGAAGACAATCACAATGAGAAGAAACAGCTTGACTACTGGAATAGCCCTCAACAGCTCAACCTGAGATTACACTCTGTCCTATCATTCCCTTTGTTTTTATAGGGGCTATTCACCTTTGAACAGAAACACCAATTTTCTACACTAGGTTGAATAAGATATTTAAGCAACACTATTATGTCAATATTGAATAGGGAAAAAACCCAAATCCACCACCATTTCGTTGTAATACTGCCTTTGAGTTATAAACAATGCAGTCATTGTATAAACAAAATGACTGATATCTTTGGACACAATTCAACGTAAACACTGATTGTACAGAAAAGAATGAAATTTATTAAGTTCATTCTTACCTTATTGTTTCTTCTATCAGTCGATCTGAGCTGAAAGCCAAAAGAAAATAAATGAAGTTAAAAAAGGAACAAGCGCTAAGTATTATTTTATATTATTAAATCAAAGATCTCCATAATGTAGTCCTTCACAAATTTGCCCTTAGAATGCCTTATTTCGGGATGTTGTCTCTTTTTGCTACTATATTGATTTGGTATATATGACTCTTTGAAGAGATGCACAGTGTCCTCCAGAGCAGCATTTCCTAAACTGTATGCAAGAGCAGATGCTCAGAGCACATAAAATACTGAGAAGACAGAAAAATGGGAATTGGGCTCCGTGATTCATGGCTAATTAATGTTAACTGTGCCTGATGCCTACCAGGAGCCCAGGACAGTTTGGAAAGCAGCATTAGAGAAGGAAGTCCCTCTTCTTTTTCTGTTCAACCCTGGTCATTCCTGCCTACACCCTCTAAAAAAAAAAAAAAAAAAGCAACTAACAAGAAAAGCTGAGGCTTGGTTCCAGGTAATTACATCTCAAAACGCTGCTTTAGAGCTACTTTACCAAACACTGTTTTATGGTGGTTAACGAGGCAAATTCTTTCTATAGTTATACCAGTTGGATGAGAATTAAGTGATGCTTATGGGAAACTGAACACACACCATCTGTAAGAGAAAGACCATGATGACACGTGCCCCTTCCCCCTTGCTGCCACACATTAATTGAGTTTCTGTGCAGCATCGCTGGGAAAAGGACAGCCTAAAATACAGCACCACAGAGAGAACATTTCATTTAAAAACGGATGTGTGAGATTAAGGTGCCAAACAAGCTCCTCGGAAGACTTGAGCAATTTCTCTTGTTATGTATACTCAACTGATTATAGACAGGTTTTTAATCACTGTTTTACAGCCTATTATGAAAGCCTAGAAAAACATACCTTGTTAAAGCAATCAGTATCTCAAATGTAACACTGATGTAGAATAGGTGACTGCACCCCTGCTTCCCATATCAGAAAAGCAATGGTGCATACCTACAATTGCTCTGTTTACTCCAAAGATTTACATAAATTCTTGTATAATAACCAAAAAAAGCGCAATTTTGCAGTTTAAGAAGCAAATCAATCTAATGGAAAGAAGTTTTATGTTGTACTGGATATTGCTTCCAGTATTAAAGCAGAATTCATTGCTGCCAAACTAAAAGGATTAAAAGACACCGAAAGGGCACGACCGCCTTCATCTTCCATCCTCCTTGTTCCAAGTGTTTTGCCATCTCGGGAGGGGAAGGTATCAACAGCCTCGGGCACAGCACAGTTCTGCCTCTGACTCAGCCGGAGCTGCCCGATTTGGAACTTTTCTTCAACCCACAGAAATTCTGGAGATCCCCCCACACCTCCAGCTGGAGCCCAGCGAAGGAGCACGTTGCGCAGCGCGCGCAACGCGTGTGTAAACTGCTCGGGAGGGGGGAGATGCTGACAGAATGTCCTTATTTGTCTGTGAAGAGGGGTGAAAACATGAAGGTTGCTATTTCAGTCTAGTCCACGGCTGGAAATATGGAGACAGCACACAGAGCACTAAAAATATTTTGCCCGATTTGAAGTTGAGAGGGACTCAACTGGGGCAGCAAACACTGGAACACTTCTTTCTGCTCCCAAAACAAAGCCACGCTCCAAAGAGTCGCATCGGTTGAAAAATGCATCGCTTTAATCAAATAAAACTATCTTCATTCACTGTGTGGTATTTATTACCGCTGGCACAGAGAAGTAAAGCACCATCGTTATGTACACAAAATGATGTAAGCAGTCTCAAGTCTCACAGCATCTGATAACGTCCCCGAGGCAAGCAGAAGGGAAAAGTGATGCATTAAAGATTTCTGTAATTGCTGATTTTCAAAGATAGAAAATTCAACTGAGAACGTGCCTTTCATGCACATATAGTCTCTAACAGACAAGTGTATTATGTGGGCAGCGCATAATGAGATTAAACTGCAAAAACATCAGAAAACAGTCTGAAAAGCAAGAATGGTGCACAAGAATGTACCATTTTAAAAAAGGTTGGATTGTTGTTTGCTTGGGTTTTTTTTATTTATTAACAACAAAAAGGTATCAGGAGCCTAGCTGGAAGTAAGTTACACTAATTCTGTGGAACAAAACATTGCTAGAATAGTTGGATTTAAAAAACCCTTTACCATGGAAAAATCTTCACGGGCGCTACCAGTTCTTTGTCCATTTAACTGATGAAATTATAGTATTTTCATGTTGATGAACTGAAGACGACAGGGAAGTTGAACACATTTGGAGACCTTAACTGAACTAGGATGTTCTCCAAGGTTTTCACAGCACAGAAAATTAGTCTTGCCCATTTGCAGCAGAGACACTAACGGCTTTTTATGTTAGCGAAAGCTCTAGATAGGCAGTTTTATTACTTAATCAGAGACGTAAACACAAAAAGTATTTAAAAGCAAATTAAATTATATTATACTGCATTATTTTTCATATACGTATGCATGTATGCACACATATAAAAAGAAACCCTGGAAACATAGTTACCTGTAATATGATGACATGCAGAAGTTAATAAAAACGTATAAAACCAGTAATAAGCAGTGCTCAATACCAACAAACACAGACATTAGATGCAAATGCCAACACAAGGCATTTAACAGGCATCTGAAGTCACAAAATCAATATTTCTCTATTTACAGAGAGGTCATCCCAACTATTTAAAAGGATGAGATATATTATGAATTTTCTTCAGAATGACTGATGTATAGGTAAGGGCAGACTGAACTCTTACAGTCTTAAATAAATAGCTGGGAAGCACTCAGATGTACTAAACACAACTTCCAGTATGTTCTTCCCACCCCAAGAAGCAGCAGCTTTTGACAGCCCCGAGTGGATTTCCAAAAACATCTCTACTTGAAAGCAGATGAACAAACCTCAGCAGAAAATGGCAATGACATTCACTGAGATTTTGGTAAGGGCAGTGCAAGCAGGAACATTTTATGGGAAAAATCTGCACGTCAGAATCCTTCAGAGTTCTGTTTAGTGCTTCCTGCAAAAGTTGAGTTTAAGCAGATGCTAGAGGCTTTCCTAAAGGCAGCAACATGCACCCATACAGCATCTCTTAATGTCTTTCAAAGTTCTTGGCAAATCCAGATAGTAACGTTGACTTACAGCGATACCCAAACAGAAGCCAGCAGTGGTTTCAGCATTTTACAGTTCATAACCATAGAAAGTAACACTCACAGTTAAGGAAGATGAGGAACACAAAGTACAACAGGGCCCAGAGACCCAAGGGAAGTTAGCAGATCTCTGACTATTAATAACTTGCTTTACACAAATAGAAGTTGTTCTCACAACTATGAATGATGGTCATTTCAACTGCTTCACAGGATAAAAAAAACAGCATTGAAAGACGTAATTTTGCTTAATTTACACATTCAAAACACTACAAAATCTCTTCATTTTGGTCTTCTGCTTCCCAAGCAAGCACAAAAAAATCCAGTGGACATTATCTTACGAATATCCAAGCAAGGAAACGATGGTTCTGGGCAGTATTAATCTGATTTGCCATCTGTTTCAATAAGCTATGCATTTTCACCTGTCGAGACAGATGGCATTTTGACAAAGCCATTTAAAAATACTATACGAAAGAAACACTGAAAGATGCTGAGGCAATCACCTACTGTAATAAATGGCACAAATCCAACCACAGCAGTCATGCATATGAAATAATCAGGCCCCTGTGCAACTGCTGTCTTCAGAAAAGATTGTGCCGTTTGTCATTTAAATATGCAAGACAGGTAAATTAATCCAAAGGAAAAATTAAGCAATATATGCCTCTAGTATAGAGAAGAAGCCTGCCCGTGGTCACATCAAGCTTTTACAACTAGAGAAAGCATTTTATGGGGTTTTTTTTGTTGTTTTTTAAAGCAAATCTCTATGCCAGTAGTTAAAATTCAGTAATACAGATGATTACTTAGGTGAGGATCCAGATCATAGATTTGCTGCTGACTTATACTACCTGGATACCCAATACAGCCACTTGTCAGAGAAACAAGAGACTGCAGTAACTCATCTGCACACAACTCACTTCACAACGCACTTTAAACCCTTCAGATGAAATTAAGGGCAGTATTATCACAAAGAATAATTTAAAAGGATTAGGAAAAAACCCTTTAAAACAAACTAATGTAGCACTTGATAACCATTTTCTTCCTTTCCTAAAGAATGATTACAGAAATAATATTTGTACTTTGCTCTTTCTCTAACAAACACTAGTCTCGGCTCTCTCAAACTGCTTGCAATAAATCTTTTGTATTTTCACAGTCCTGGATCACCAGGCAACATGGAGCTTCTGGGAATGCAAATATTGCAAAACATACTTGATACTCTAATACACATATACAATGATGATGAAACAAATCAGACTTATGCAGTCAGTTATTTCCATCATAATAATGATTCCTAACTCAAATGTAAAAGAAACACTGTGCACACACACACAAAAAACCCCTAGCTCCAACTCATTTCCTCTGCTTGCAATCAACGAACCTTATAATCTAAAAAATTCAGAAGATCATTAATCTCTTTAAAAACCTACGGAGAAGAATCTGAAGCAGAGCATTTTAGTTTGGGTTTTTTTTTTTTTTCCTGTGGTAACAAACAAGATATTCCAGATTTTATAAGACTTGTCTCAAGCTTGATTGAATTTAGTGTCAAAGAAAGAGTGAATTCCACTGGAGCTGCTTAGCTAGTTTGGACAGTCTTCTACAGTTGCTAATGAAGACAAAAATTGGTGTAGAAGCCTCCTCATTGACTGAGCCCCAACTCAAGAGCTGGGCAAGATAAAACAGACCTGGGGTATGAGACACCTAAAGAGAGAAAAGAGGACTGTGCAGACACCACAGAATTTGCTCCTGTGTTTTTATTGAAGAGAAGAAAGCAGCACCTGCTCTGAATGCACAACATACAACAGCACAGGGAGGAAAAGGAATATATTAGACTACCAAGCATCCATCTTACACCTCCAGCATGAGAAGAGCTCGCTGGCAA